AATTCTTTAATATATTACTTGTGTGGTGTAGAAGATAAGTATTTAAGAATGTAATTATGTAAGAATGTTAACACTCTGTCATAATTCTTTAGTATATTACTTGTGTGGTGTGTGTGTGTGTAGAAGTGAATCATTTACTGCTTGCAAACCAATGATGTAAGATGATGTCATGGGGTAGGACTGGATAAGTCTGACTTCTTCCTACTCCATTCAAGCATATACTAGGTATAAGCAAATTGATATTGGATTATGTGTAAAATTATGTGTGTAGTCATATCAACTGCTTTACATGCTTGAAAGAATAAATCAAATCAATTCATGGGACCTTTTTGTTTCTAGATGCAAGTGCCCATAATGAGATGGTGTGTATAGATGTTTGTCCTCACAGTAATGAATACTGGCAATATGCCCTCACTTTTCACTCTCAAGGTCTGAAAATACAATGCATCCATGATTTTCTAGTTTTCACAGTGTTGAGTAATGAAATAATCTGTGAGTATAACAGCCCACTGAGGTCATTCGCTGTAACTTCATGGCTACTTCACCACCAAATTTATGTCATCAGCAGTGCTCTCAGTTGTGAATCCTGTGTCTTGTTTCTGCTCTAATGTCATGGTGATTGATTTTGGCTCTGTTTTGGAGCACTGACCTACAGAATAAAAGATCTAAAATTGCATAAAATATGGCATGGGCTCTTATAACCAGTTTTACTGACATACAAGAATTTATTATAAATAAATAGCTCATTTATTTACATTATAAGCTAGTTTAAGCCCTAAACCAAACAGTGAGAGTCAAATATCTATTGTTTTATCCATGCTGACAGTGTGGCTCTGGGGATGGCATTGTCAGGCTTTTCAGTTTGATCCGGAGTGAAATATTTATCCCTCCACTTTTCGATGAATTCCCATGAACTTTGGCTGATACTTGATGTCCTGAATTTTTGTTTCTGACTCTTTCCTGTAAATTAAGACCATTTTGGGTGTCGAAGTTTTCCGATCACTGAGCGAGAGATTGTGCCTGTAAAAACGTGTTTGCTGGTGAGGGGAAAGCAGTTAATTCTTTTTAAAGATGTGACACTCATTTAGAGGCGTAGCCAACCAAAGAAATGGTGAAAATCATACTCTATATGTCGACACATTTTTTTTCTCATCTAACCACAAGTCCTTGTTTTACCAGCCCTGTGATCTGTCTGTAAAGGAGGCCAAGAAAGTACAGAAAATGATGACCTTCCACCCAAAATGGATTAATGTTCATTTAGAAATGTGTTTAAAAATGTTAGAAAATTTGATGTTATTATTTGTGGCTAGGCAACATATTCGCCGTACCGCGACCGCATCCCGCTTCAGATCGTCCGGGCTGAAGTTGAGCTGTCTGCTGAGGAGAGGGCCTACCTCACTGCTGTGGAGAAAGGTAAACATGCACAACGTTCCAGGGTCATCCATTAGTTTATTTTATTTCTAGTGGTCATTTAATAGATGATAATAGCTGATCTGCTCACCTATTAAATGATTTTGACTTTCTGATGGCTGTAATAGTGGCAGTAGCAGGTCAGACCAGAATTTCACTGGTTTTATCTCTGCAATATGAGCTTCAGCAGATTTTTGTGAGACTCCTCTCCCTAAAAATAAAACTCCCTATAGGTTGACCGTGCAAGCAGCATATTACAATCACTAGTTATGTTTTTATGTTAGGCAACTGTAATGGCCCTAGCAATTAAGATGGAAGTGAAGGAGAAAGTTAATATGACAGTATAAACAGTGGCAAAGTCTGCATGTCAGAGTGAAGGGGTGGGTCAACAAAACACACAACTCTGACACAGGAGACCAATGTTTATTAGTTAAAAACCAAAAGGTTATTGATTCAGCTACAAAGGGGGCTATATAAATGAGTGTTCATGGCCTAGAAGGCAATAAATCAAACTTGGTGTATCCTGTGTAAACCAGAGTTTTTAAACCTTCTGCCCGCTCCTTCAACCATCAACTCCCTGATCCACCCTCTCAGGTGACTATGCAGGAGTCAAACATGCCCTTCGCGAGGCAGAGGTCTACTACAACATGGATGTGAATTGTCTAGATCCGCTGGGCCGCAGTGCACTCCTCATCGCCATTGAGAATGAGAACCTGGAGATCATGGAGCTCCTGCTTGACCATGGCATCCACACGGGTGACGCCTTGCTCTATGCCATCAGAAAGGAGGTGGTGGGCGCCGTGGAGCTGCTGCTGTCACACAGGCGACCCAGCAACGAGAAGCAGGTCTGTGGGGATATCTGTGTGTTTAAATACAAGACGGAGCAAGGACTCCATGGATGCATGTTAATCTCTTTCAATCAGATGCACTCATGCATGCACATTGGCATTTACTCATCCGTGAATGTGTGCAATGATGTGTTGCAGTACTCCATGTCACATTATTGCACACATTCACGGATGTGTTGCAGTACTCCATGTCACATTTTGCTAAGCAGCTCATTTTATAGACACTGTGAAATGGGCTTTAGAGATGACAGTATAGTTGTCTGCCTGCTGGATTTCTGTGTGTTTAGGTGTGTGTGTGACAGAGCAAAAGAACATGTTGAACAGTTTAGTCAACGTGTAGGTGTTAAGGAGGATCGAGGAGGAGAGACTCAGAGGGAGGAAACACAAGTGATAGTGATTGAAAATCATAGAGACCTAGATGAAGGGTAAAGGGACACTGGTAAAGAAAAGAGAGGAGGCGGAGAGAGCGAGAGGACAGGGAACAAGGTGATATTTTAGAACAAAGAAACAGACAACTTCTTGTACATTAATTCCTGGACCTGAGGCTGTGAGGGTGCCATGTCACCATGGAAACCAACCCTTGGCCAAAGCAGAGGATTGTGGGAAGGTTTTTGTTGCCTCAGTTGGATGAGGACAGGAACAAAATCTGTTCTAGCTGTCTTTCTTTTTTCCTTTACTATATTTGCAGTACTCCCTCTTTTCTTCCAGCAGTTTTTCTCATGTTCTCTCCATGTGTATAATTCTCTTCTTTTCTTTTTGTTTATCCCCTTTAGTAATTTTATTTGCAAAAAGCAGTGATTACAGATTGACACAGCCTTGTACATGTAGCATTTATTATGGTACATAATGGCTTACTGAACCAGACAGGTTTGGAGTAGGGCCCTACTAAACCAGATAGCTCTGATGACAAACTGATAAGGCCCAGTCAGAGGGTGCTAACATTCAAAGCTGGTTGATTTCCACATAAGCTCTGAGTCATTCAAATTTTTCTTCCATCTGCATGTATCTCAAAACAACAACTGTGCTTAGAAAGTCAATTCTTTGGGTAAATCCCATATTAGTTGACAGGTACTTATAATACAGTTGTTTTAAGAACTAAAGCACTTTCACAGAGTAAGACAGGGCAAGTTAAAGTGTATAGCATCTGTCAAGTGCTTTGACATAAAAATGTCAAAGGCATAAAATGTCGTGTTTAAGTAAATATATGACGTAGTGAACACAGCACATTGACTGTGAGTCGTTGTCCTGAATGCGATATGAAAAAGATGAAGAACTGTTGTGTGTCTGTTTTGTAAACTGCTCTTTCTCTGCCGACAGGTAGAGTCGGTGCCTTTTATCTGCGCTTGGTGAACAAAACTGTTGACCTTTCCGCCACCCCTCTCCATCTGACTCACTCTGACTCCCCCTCTGTCTTTTATTACCTCTCCCTCTTTATCCCCCTCCCTCTCTCCCTTATTCATCTGCTCTCCCTCCTTTCTTCTTTCTCTTGTCCCTTTCCTCTACTCCATGATTAACTGCAACCAAATGCAGTTTTCTACATCACTGGCTCACAAGAAATTCAAGGAATTGAGCCAGCAAGGTCAGAAAGACGGAAGTGATAAAACAAAAAGGAGAATAGAAGCTGAAGGTTTTTGCCGTGAGCGTACAAGGGAAAGATGAAAAAGAAGGAGCTGTACAGATGAGGGGTGGAGGGTGGAAAGCAAGATGGTGACATTAAATCAAAGCTAAGTAAAAAAAGGAAACGAGTTCAGGACATGGAGAGAGAGGAGAAAGGAATAACACAGTAGGGACTTGAGGAGTGACTGAGGACATCAGAGACGTAGATACAGCAGGACAGAGAGCTTTGCAGATGAGGATTGCTGGATCCCTCGCTGGCTTAGCTTTGATGTGTGAGGTGTGTGGCAGGAAAAAAGATTAAGTGCGCATGTGTGTGTTTGTATGTGTGTTGCTGGACCAGGCTTCTTTGGATAGACTACAAAAAATGTGCAGCAGTGACAGCTGTAGCTTATAGGGTTCTCCGGAATCACAGGTTTGGTGGACTGATCCTTGTCATCACCTGTCCACATATCAGAGTGTCCTTGAAGTACCTACTGAGGTCCCAATGTTTAGTCCAATGGCTTTTATTGTAGCTCGCTGAACTGGGTAACTGAGAGGCCAGGTGCTTCAGATAAAAGTGCCATATAAATGCAGGCCAAAATGTAAACAAGCCAAATTCTGAAACCATTTAGAGACAACAACACAAAAGGGTTTTGTGTGGATTTTTGTATCTCACTCTAAAACCCCAAGCCTGACTCAGGCCAGATTAAATTGTATAGAGTCTTACAGGATTTGGTCCCAGTTTATTGCCACCAGTCCATGATTTTTCTGTCAATATGTGTAAAGCGTGATATCTACTTAACACAAAGGATTAACAGGAGTCCTGCCACAAATACCTATGACCGCTGACATATAAACAATGGACATGGCATCACCACTTCCCTCCACTAAACCAAAATAAAGCCAAAACTATCATGAATACAGCTGCTGCCATTTGCATTTTGCACCCAGATTCTGCTCAGTAGTGACCAGAAGTAGCGACAGCATCGGACCACCAATACACCTTTTATATACCATCAAATAACTTATTAAAAACAAACCAGAAAAATTACAACTTGTACACATATTAGAGTGATAATATCTACCAAAAAAACAAAAAAAAACAGACGAGATCTCTAGGAAAATTTTGATTTGTGCTTTGAGTTTTTATTTTGGCTCATGTTCCACCTGCTAACATGGAGGAGGTGAGATGATCTATACTGCAACCAGCCACTAGGCGGAGATCGATTCGCAGTGGCTTCACTTCTGGAAACTGTCATGGAATCAAAATTTTAGTCAATCTCTGTGACATAGATTTGATTTATATTTCAGCGTTGCTTTTCATTGTGGTGTATAGTGAACATGGTGAACAGAAGGTTTACAGTGGAGATGTCTTTGCGAGATCAGTATTGATAAAACGGAAACAATAACTGAGCTTTTTCTGCTTCCTTTGTGTTTGCTTCCTGTTACTCTTATTTTGTCTCATGTAGTTCTTTCCCATCAAAAATCAAGCCAGAACACTTTAAATGAAAACACTGTTGCACCCAATCCACACAGATAATTATTTTTTTCTGTGTTGGGCGGTGTTAGTTTATATTTACCTCTGTCTGTGTGTGTGTGTGTGTGTGCGTTTTCTCTGTCTCTTTAATCAGTGTGTGATACCGGCCCATGTCAGCTGTTTTCACACTCCTTATCACACCAGGAAAATAAAACAGTAAGAGAAAAAGAGGGGGATCAAATGAGGAAAAAATGTTGTGGTAGGTTAGGGAAATGGAGACCAGAACAGAGAGAAAGGGAGGAGATGTGACGAGAGGAAGCAGCTGGATAAAGAAAGATGTCAGGGAAGGATGGAGGAAGAAGACACTGGGGAAGGTGAAGAAGAGAGGGTGTAAGAATGTGGACAAAGTGGATGACTGAACGGCAGAGAACGCAGGGACAGAGAGAGAGAGAAGATAAGCGTGATGAGGGAAAGCACTGTGCTTTGGTCTCCCTCTGAGAGATGAAAGAGTCCACACATGTTCACTCCAGTCCTCACTCCCTCTTTGTACCCTCCTCTTCCTCGTTTCTGCTCCTCTCACTCCTCCTCCTCCTGATATCTTGGAGTCAAGGGTGTGTGTATATGTGTGTCTGCGTGTGCGCACACCAGTATAATAGAATAGGATTTACATGCTTTGTGTTTTTGGACATGCAAACACAATTTCATTTTTATTCTTAATCTGGTCACACTTTACTTTACTAGGGATGACAACTTATTCACATTGTATGTTTCCGAAACTGTTTTGGAAATGGACACACACAAAAAAAGCAGGGAGAGTGTAAAATGTTTAGTTTTGCAGCCATAGTTGTTTTTGAAACCATCTGGTGTTTTGTTTGGAGTTTTTCCACTCTTAACCTGTGAAATATAATCCATTAAGACAGAAATGATAGCTGCCTCCAAAACCATCTTCCAGGATCCATTACACATGGCTGGTAGTTTTGTTGTCATTGCGAAATCCAGCAGAGAGTCGCTGCTCTAGGCCTAGGAATATCCCCCTGACTCTGGCCCAAAACCCCCTGTAAACCCATATTTCTTTTTACATTTGGTTTCAATAATCAACTCAATCAATAAAATCTTATGATTATAGTGCATGTTCTGTTATTAGTCTGATATTGAAAAGTAACTAAAGTACTTATATAGTGGAGTAAAAAGTATACTCTTTGCCAAAACTTAGTCACTTTTCACCACTCAAAGCAGATGTCACATTTTAATAAGTGAGGTTTATAGACAGAGCTAAGCTAGCTGTTTGTCTTTATGCTAAGCTGCTTGCTATATATTCATATTTATTGTACAGCCATGAAATGTGCCGACACTCTTCTAACCTGACTCTTGGCAAGAACGTGAATGAGCTTATTTCTCAGAATGTCTGTTCCTTTCACACTGAAAAGGTGTTACATCTTGTGTTTTGCCCTCAGGTTCCCTCACTGATGATGGACAGTCAGTTTTCAGAGTTCACTCCAGACATAACTCCCATCATGCTCGCAGCTCACACCAACAACTATGAGATTATCAAGCTGCTCCTACAGCGGAAGGTGATGACGCAAAGAGACACAAATTAGAGCTGGAAACATTTTAATACATCACTTAAGACTTGTAGAAACTATTTTTGTTGAATTGTATATTGAATCACTAGTTTGTAAAGGTAATTAATTACAGTCATTGTATGCTAGCTGTTTTATTGTCTTTTATTGTGTTGTTCTGTGTAGGTCACAATTCCCAGACCGCACCAGATACGTTGTGATTGTGTTGAGTGTGTTTCCAGTTCAGAGGTAAGTTATCAGTTCTCTGGCAATGCATGGCTTGAATGAATGAGTTTTTTTTAGCACACTGGAACATAAAAGCAGTATAAGTATATATAATAGGAAGCAAATATGGTTCCAGAACACCGTCAAAGTATACAGTGGAATAGAAAAAAAAATAAAAAATTCAAATTTAAAAAAACCAATTGTACATGAAAATCGTTGGCTTTGTTTTTGTAATTGAAGAGAACACCTCCCAGAGTGCAGAGTCTCCAGGAAAGGATGTCAGGATCTCTTTCCTGACAATGTACATGTCACTCAGCTTTATCTGGGCTCTCATTATTTTGCTCACCAGTAATAAAGCCATTTTATTACACCTGAGCCTACAGTTCAGGTGACTAAACCATCATATCAAGTGAAATATCACATAACGTTTTGTAAGATATTTACTAACTGTCTTGAAAATCTGTTGAGTGTTTGAAGAAGATGAAACTAGTCGTAGATATGGCTTGAGCTGTTTCTGAATTTTAAAAGTGAGGAATCTGCCTTTCTTCTCTCATATATCTCTTTGTGCCTCCTGCAGGTTGACAGCCTTCGGCATTCACGGTCTCGACTCAACATCTACAAGGCTCTAGCCTCACCCTCCCTCATTGCGCTGTCCAGTGAAGATCCCATCCTCACTGCCTTCAGACTGGGCTGGGAACTCAAAGAACTCAGCAAGGTATGGATATCGATGCCTTTTGATTGATTGATTTTATTGTTGGATTCATATTAAAAAAGTGTGCAGGTGGATTTTTCTTGATGGAAACTCTACAGAGATTTGTCTAGTTAAATATTTGGATTAGGACAGAATTAGCCTAATGATATCTGCCAGTTTTTACTTCCACAATATACAGCTTACTGTTAAATTAAAAGAGACACCAATTTAAAGTGTCACCATGAAGTGCTGATCCACAAAGAGCCTCCAGAGCAGCATCAGTCCTCCTTGGCATTGATTGTCCAAGCACTTAAGTGAACTCCTTTGGAGGCACGCCACATCCTAAACTTGATGGGCTGTGGAAGCAGCAGCATCCAATATCATTTATGTTGCTCTTTTGCCTCAAGTGTTTCCTTCACTTGTGCTATAATAAGCAACTGTGTAATCCTAGTTCTGACATTGCAACCACGAATTACTCATCATTTATCATAATTTCTGTAGTTGTTCTTTTGGGCTAAGAATAAATCTAATCTTGGCTAACAAGCAGAGATTCCCCTCTTCCTCTTCAGAAGCATTAACTGTGCATCAGTTTATTTTTGACCATCAGAGAGCCAGAGACAGAATCTAACAATGAAAGTCAAAGTTATGGACGGCTAAAGATCCATCATAAGAAAGGTTTCCTACCTCTCACATAACCTGCAATCTCTTCTGCCTTTCAGGTGGAGAACGAGTTTCGTCAGGAGTATGAGGAGCTGTCTCAGCAGTGCAAGCGGTTCGCCAAAGATCTTCTAGATCAGGCCAGGAGTTCTAGAGAGCTGGAGACCATCCTGAACCACAGAGACAATGACCAGAGCGAAGAATTGGACCCAAGACAATGTCACGACTTGGCCAAGCTTAAACTAGCCATCAAATACCACCAGAAAGAGGTAGGAACTTGACCTGTGTATTGATCTCTATTCACAGAATCTCTGGAGAGGAATGGAGTTTAGACTCTTAAATTCTCATCCAGCCAAAAAACAGTTTTCCTTACCTAAAGATAATATTGCCGAAAACTGAGTGTAGCATATATATGTGTGTGGTTCTTGGTTCATTGTGGTTGATTATGTTTGAAACGTGAGTCATTTGAGGGTAATGGACACTAGAACCTTCTGTCCTAGTTACATCTGTTAACACACACTTACCCACACACACAATTTCGCAGTACACATTTCCTTGTCCTTGAGGAATTGAGGGACTTAGCCACTCTGCTCATGGGACTTGTCAAAGGAGAGTGAAAATACAAGAGGATATATGTAATAGAAAGAGATTGAGGAAAGCAGAGGGAGGGTTAGTGAGCGGGAAAGGTACAGGAAAAAGGAGGGATGATGATTAAGAGTGAGCAAAAGAGTAGGACTGAGTGAAGCCATGAGCTGGTGCAAGCATGCACAGATAAAAGTAGACAAAGCAGATTTAATGGGACAGAAAGAGAGAAGAATAGAGCACTAGAGAGATCAAGTCAGCACATGAGTGAGATAGAGATGGAGATTTGATGGGATAGAGTTTGAAAACAAAACAGACTTTGAAAAGCCCAAGGTGATCCCCATCTCTCTCCGTCCATCCGCCTGTCTGTTCACTGCTGTTTCCACTTCTCTGCCACAGAATGATACTGCTAGACAGATGAAAGCAGGAGTGAAGGGGCAGAGTGAGGGAAAGAATGACAGCAGTCACAGGACAATATGTACACTATATGTATTGAGGGAGGCAGAGACATAAGAGCGGGAAGTGAAGTGCTCTCTCGAGTGTCAAAGTTAGAAATCTGAAGAGTGCTACTTAGAATGATGACGTGGACTCTCCCCAGGTAGAGAAGATTACAGGGGCAAACATCTCAGGAGTTTGCACCAAGTGGATCTGGGTTTTTGGTGTGTGTGTGTATGTATAAATACATAAAATATTAAATATACCTTCACTAAACACTATGGTACATTTGTTTCTTAATTGAAAGAATAGAATTACATAATATAACAGACACAAGATACAAAGATGCACACAAGTACGCTGCACGTCAAAATAATCTTAAAATTATCATTGTGTAATGGGGTACCAGGGCCATAGTTACCAGCCATCTGGTTCTTATATAAGTGGAGTGAGAGCGGTGTTTGTATTCTTGGCAATAAGTCAAGCATGTTCCTAGTGAATGTTGGCCTCCGCCATGGTTGCCCCTTGTTTGTTGTTTGTGATTTTTATGGAAAGGAGCTCAAGGCACAGCCAGGGAGAGGAGTGTGCCCAGTTTGGGGACCTCAAAATCACATCTCTGGTTTTTTGCTGATGATGTGGTTCTGTTGGCGTCATCAGACTGTGACCTCCAGTATGCACCTGAGTTTGCACCTGAGTGTGAGCTGAGATGAGAATCATATTCTCCAACTCTGATGCCATGGTTTTCTGTCAGAAAATGGTGTATTGCTCCCTTCAGGTTGGGAGTGAGCTGCTGTTTAAGTATCTCGGGGTCTTGTTTATGAGTGAGGGTAAAATGGGGGCATGAGATTGACAGGTGGATTGGTGCAACGTCAGCAGTAACACGAGTGCTGTGTTGGACATTGTGGTGAAGAGGCAGCTGAGCCGGAAGGAAAAGATTACAGTTGTCCAGTCTGTCTGTATTCTAACCCTCAGCTATGGTCACACACTTTGGATAGTGACCAAAAGAATGAATTTGGAAATACAAGTGGCCAAAATAAGTTGGTGTGTAAACTAACTAAACATGAGGAATATGTACTTTGAGACATGTGCAAAAGGCCTTTTGGGGGATGGAGAGGTATCCTTAAATACAAAATGGGAGGAGCGAAGGACCTCTTCATCCTTGAAGGGATGATTTATATGAATTAACGAGAGTTGGGGCGGGGTGGGGGAGCTTAAGAGAGATGCATACTGTAGTGCTTTTCCAGGACAAACAATTTAGGAGGATAAAGGGATGAGGTGAAGTGCCAGACTGGTGACACATATAAAGATTTAGGAAGACATTTATGTTCCTGGCATGGTGGACAAAGAAGGAGGGAAAGTGAATGTTTGATAGATCGACGTAGAATCGATATAGTGAAAAACACTAGTGAAATGAAGGGGATGTGTGAGCAAGACAAAGAGAAGAATGAAACCTGTTTGCTTGCTCTTGCGTAGTAGTGACAGAGCTGATGAATGAATATACAGTAGTGCATAATATAGGCCTAGTAAGTAGGGGCAGATGACTGATATTAGCATATAGATTGAGAATTAAAAAGGTTTAAATAAGTAATTCAATATGTGACTTAATTAAACCCAAACTCCCTTTTGACGATTTTCTATTAGTGCTCTCAGGTGGTGAGCAGTAAGCTAGGTTGAAGCAATTCCCCTGCTGGTTTAAATACATTTTAGTTGTATATATGTTTCATCCATATACTGTACACAGCACAAACAAAGGGAAAACAAAGGACATGAATGTAATTAAAGAATGGAACAAGTGTGGTGCGTGGAAAAACTACATGAAGTGGCAGTGGAATTTAGTAGCCAGTGTCTTGTTGCCATGCTGGGGTAACAGCAGTTCTTCCAGTTGCAGAAAGAGGATTAACAAGTTTATGAAAGCACTTGGTAATTGAGTTTATTCCTAATTCATTAATGAGAATGTTTAATGGGCTCCTGAGTGCCACTGATGTCCTTTTGGAAAAAGTGTTAGTCAGAGTTATTCTTACTATTGTTGGGGCAGCATTTGTTGTCTGCTGTCTGACTTGTGTGTCTTTTGTTGTTGAGCTCAGGCTGCCAAACTGCTTTTAATTACACTTGCATATCATTATTAATCTTATAATACTATACAACATTTTTTCCAATCTATCTAATCTCAGGGGTGTAAACTCACCACATCATCAGTGCAGTGATTTTTGATCATGATGCCATTTCACTTCATTTCCAGTAACCTTAGTAACAATGTTGTCGATTTTAACATTTACTGCAATTACACTCTAAACACACTCTAGTCATAACAGTCAATAATAAATAAATGTAAAACTAGCTATTTGTTACATCAGCAAGTAGGTTAGTCTACAAACTTAGCAGTCAAGTGGTTTTCATTAACAGGGTGGCCTGGGCTAGAGTTGTATTCCCCGTCTGAACTATGGTTTCAGTCTTCCCCTGAGGGTCTCTGATTATTAGCTATCACACAAATTGACATGTTAGGGATTTTGTTGATACATTATAGATACCAGCTTTTGGGGACCTAATGCTAAGCAGAGAAAATTTATTTATTCTAAATAATCCTCTCTTATTATCCCATCAGTCAGACATAAATGCATATTTTCCTTACTGTTTTGCACCTTAGACAGTAATACACTAATTAAATATCCATCATGCTTCCTTGCAATATGACTCAGAGAAACTTAGAGGAACTTGTCTGCAGACTTCTTTTCTGCCTGTACTGAAGTGTGCTACCATCTACAGTACTTACTAGGAGGCATAATTGGCTGCATCTCTGACAGAGTAATCCTTTGAGCAAGATTTGTATGGAAAGTAGAAAGTCTTATTTTTCAAAACATCCTGTGGCGCTGTGGAGAAGCGACTGAGCTCTAAAATAAGACCTTGTCAGATTTATACTAAGGAGAGAGAGAGAGAGGATGGAGCAATGAGAAGATTTAAGGAGTTAGGGAGCATCTGAGAAGAAAGGAGGGAAGAAGGGAGTGCTGTCAGTGCTCAATAACACTGTTTGAAATTGTTGAGGAGTGAGATGTAAAGCCAGAGAGGTCAGGGAAGATTAGCTGGTGATGGATGAAGTGATGAAAAGGAAGAGAACTGTTAAAGAAAATATGTGTGTCGCCAAAGATCTGCCACTGAGGCAGTCATTGCCTGGATGGTGGGAACACAGACAGTGTGGGCTGAGATACTTGATGTTCTTACACTGGGAATATTGTGTAATCTGTCATTGCTCTCAAATCTTGTTAGCATTAAAACCAGTCTTATTCTGCAGATTACAGCTGCTCCAACAATATGTGACTCTTGTGTGGCAGAATTATGTCACATTAAGTATTTGTGACAATAAAAGTCACTGATCTGACAAAAAGACGTGAGGAAGAAGAACTGGAAGCTGGAAATCAAAAATGAAGAAAATAAGTCCATATGCTCCTGTGAACTGAGAGACAGAAGAGGAGCAAGAGAAAGAAAGAGGCAGAAAGGAGTGGGGGATTTTACAAGGGAATGACACATCAACAAAAATGGGGTTGGACTCTGATCGAGTTAAGAGATTCCTTACTTCTTTTACCATGTGACCACCAGTACCTTACACTGGTGATTTGAAATGTTTTCCTTTCAACTGTATAATAACTTCAGCAAGAAAAAGAAGGGAAAAAAAATTACTATCAACTTTAGATATTTTTTTACATTGTATAATTATTTCAAATGAGATAAAATCATCTGCAAGTAACGAAGCTTAGATTTGCCAATATGTACATCTTTCAACTCTTTTGTCTAATATTTGAGCAAAAAGTTCAGTTGCTAAAAAGACAAAAGGGGATGGTAAGGAGGGGCAGCAGGTGGTTTGTGTAAACTTACCTAAACTTGGTGTATTTTCTTCTGGCTTTTTAATATTTGAGAAACACAGAAATTCCTGTTTTATTTTGTTAGCCTAAAAGCTTCATAAAATAAAATAGAACTGCTGGTGTTTTATATGTTGTCTTTATTTATCAAAAAGTGTTTAAAATGTAGGTATTTTGACAGATTGTTTCATCATCATTAACATGTGGAAGAAAACATATGTCCTTGTTTAGCTTGTTTTTGTATTTAATCTTAAAACTGAGCTATATTACTCTGAATTTAGGCGTATTTTTGTTTTTAAGCAGCTGTTTGATGGAGGTGAGGAGCACATTTCTATCATTAAAACACAAGCCTGTTAGGTTTAATGCTGTCATAAAAAAGTTTATTATGACTGACATGTTTT